AAAGTGGCTATAAATTTTTAGGTTCACAGTTGAGTTAATACAGTTATACAATATTGAACTCAGTATAAACCCTGCAAGACATAAAATTGAATGAGGTTTAAACTTTAAAAAAGATCTCCATTTCACTTTAAAATATACTGTTATGCCTGGCCCAACTCATTGTTAATGCAACTAATACTTAGATGTTTGTACATGCATCTTTAATCTCTATATATCTGATTATTACTAGTCACAGTTGGTTACTTTCTGAGATACTTGGCACCTGAGCATGGATATAAAGACATCAGGTAGATTTCAATGGCAATGTTTCTCACATCTACTAGTTAACATGAAGCAAATTTTTAATGCTTCTTCCTCTAACTCATTTTTTAAAATTTATTGATTCTTTTGTGTATTTCATACAGAACATGCCAAATAATCTTATTCATCTATATATCTGCATCCCAAATGGCACCCTCCCACCCCCACCCCCTACTGTAGCCCATATATTCTGTCATCCCTGTTACAGTCCACAGTGTTGTCAGTGCCCCCAGCCGCCCCCCCCCAATGCAAGTCCATCTGCTGAGTCTAGTCAGCCTATCTAGAGTTCCTTGTTTTAGGAAGATCAGCTCTTCCTCATCTAGCAGCAATCAGTTGCCAATATTCCTTTAGATAAGATTGGGATTTGTTGTTCATTTTCCAAGTTCTATACTGGGTCACTGTCTGGGGGTCTCTTAGGCCACCCTTGCCAGCAACTCAAAGGAAGGTATCTCCTGTCTGGCACTGTTTCTTTTTATTGTAGCCCTTAGCTACGCACATGGACTCTTAAAGAATTATATAGATCCCTTAAATCTTTGGTTATACTTTCCTTTTGGGTTTTAAGACCATACAGTTGGCCCAGATAAACCAATTTATTTGTACTCAATTTATTTTTTACTCATTTGAGGACCTGTTCCTCAGGGGTCACATGAGCTTGGGAGGAGGCCCTGGCTCCTTTCTTTTACCAGTTCCATCTATGTGAAGATAAGTTAAAGGTGCTACTCAACCATGGCTGGCTTCACTTGGAAGCATGGAGGAAATGTTTCCTCTGTGTTGACCCCATCTGGTGGAGTCTCCATGGCCTCCTTGATCAAGAGGACAGGTGATTCACCACAGTTACAGGACATTTTGAGAGATTCTCCATAATCCACTGGAACTTAGTCAACCTTGGAGGGCAAGGAGCACAAACTGTCATTTAAGTCCCTCTGAACAAATTAGTATAGGATGGCTGTTAAACATACAAGAAGGTTAGTTTCACCAGTCTGGTACTTTTAATTACCATGTGCTATGTAGATAAAACTTGGGCAAAGACAAAAGGTTCTCAAATAAACCTTGACTAGACATATATTATGTTCCTTGAGTTAGTTGTATGTATAATTTGTCAGTAGGTTGTTCAACTACCATGGTTCCCTCTGTTTTTTTTTTTTTTAACTATCTAGGCATTATTTATCTCTTGCATTGTCTAACCCTTCTACCATGGTTTCTCCATTCAAAGTGCCCCTATTTTTCCCATTTCTCCCTTAATAATACCCTTCTGCTATGGTCCCTCTTCTCTTGAGCTCCTTCTTTCTCTTTATCCCCAGGTTCTTTGTATAACCCTCCCTCCCCCATCCCATTAAAGTAATCCTTTTTTTTTATACATATCTCACTTATTAACACCTGTTTCCTACTGTTTTTATCTTTTCAGGTTCTTTATTTTCATTTACCTCCTTGCTTCCTTTTCTTTATCCTGGTTTCTGTAGTTATGTCTGGATACATACTCACTTATAAGGATTTGGTGCTAGGATCCATATATTAGAGAGAACATATGTCATTTTTCTGAGTCTGTGTTACTTCACTTAGTATAACAGTTTCTAGTTCCATCCATTTACCTGTAAATTTCATGATTTCATCTTTCTTTACTGCTGAGTGGAACTCCACCATATAAATGAACAATATTTTCATTATCCATTTGTCAGTAGAGGGACATTTAGGTTGTTTCCATTGCTTAGTTATTGTAAAAAGAGCAGCAACAAACCAGATGTACAAGTGTCTCTGCAATAGGATGAGTTCTTTGGGTATATGCCAAGGAGTGGTATAACTGGGTCAAATGGTAGGTTCATTTGTAGTTTTTTAAGAGTTCTCCACACTGCTTTCCATAGGGGTTGAACACGTTTGCAATCCCATCCACTCATCATTCAGGAGTGTGTTGTTTAATCTCCATGTGTTCATGTAGTTATCAGGGTTTCTTCCTGTGTTGATTTTAAGTTTAATTGCACTGTGTTCTGATAGAATGCATGGAATTATTTTAATCTTTTTGTGTTTGTTGAGGCTTGTTTTATGCCCCAGTATATGATCAATTTTGGAGAAAGTTCCATGGGGCACTGAATAGAAATTATATTCTTTGGTGCTTGGGTGGAATATTCGGTTGATGTCTGTTAGGCCCATTTGATGTACAGTATCATTTAATTCAGATGTGTCTCTGTTAATTCTCTGTCTTCTAATGGAGACAACGGTGTATTGAAGTACCCTACTATTAATAAGTTGGGATTAATCTTGGTCTTAAAGTCCTGTAGTACTGTTTTAATGAAGTTGGGTGCACCAGAGTTTGGTGAATATATGTTCATGATTGTCATATCTTCTTGGTCATTTGTTCCTTTGATCAGAATAAAGTGGCCCTCTTTATCTCTTCTGATTGGTTTTAGTTTAAAGTTCCATAGTGGTGAAAGGTTCTGTGAATGCTACTGGGGAATAAAAGTAATTAACAGTCTTGCCAGCTGTGAACCCTAAATGCTACAATAATGGTTGGTCCAGGTAAGGTATGGCCACTGGTACACTAATGGCAAGAACATTATGGGAGTAGCCAACCGCTTTGTGATTGAATTGAAAGTCCACACTACAAGACAGAACTCATGTCTGGCACCACTAACTGGGCCCCAAACCTGTGACTGGCTAGATCATAGACCCTGTGCAAGAACCCAATACTGTTATTCTGCTAAATGAGTATAATAATAAATTGCCCCATAAATTCATATCTTTTTAGCATTTCTCTCTCTCTCTCTCTCTCTCTCTCTCTCTCTCTCTCTCTCTGTGTGTGTGTGTGTGTGTGTGTGGTACATATGTACTCTGCTTCACATGTGTAGGCCAGAGGACAACCTTGGGTGTCAGTCCTTACTTTCTACCTTATTTGAGACAGTACCTCTTTGTCATATGCCAGGTAAGTGGTTTGTGAGTTTCATGAAGTTCTATTGTCTCTGCCTCTCATCTTTCCATAGGAGCAGGGAGATCACAAATGTGTGCTACTTACTACATCTCATGTTATATTTATTCGAGGGATTCAAACTCAGATCTTCATGATGCAGAGATCATACATGGCACAGAAAATACCCAATAAAATGTTGAGATTAGCAGATATTAGTAAGCAGTCAGTAATGCCTGCATCTGTTATTGCTTTTCTCACTTTAAAATGTCATTTTGGGGGCCAGCAAGGTTGCTCAGTGGGTAAAAATGACCTAAGTTGATCCTCAGAAACTATGCATAGGTGGAAGAAGTGAGCTGACTCCATAGAGTTGTCTTCTGACCTTTGCCGGCATGCCTTGATGCACACACACACACACACACACACACACACACACACACACAATTTAAAAGCTCGTTTCTCGTTTATTAAAGTGTAAATTATATTTGCTATGGACTTTATTACTTCTAGCTACCCCAGAAGAGTCCAGAAGAAAGTAAGACTCTTTACCTGCCTTTTCTCCTGCCTCTTTCCCTCCCTCCCTCCCTCCATCTCTCTCTCTTTCCTCCCTTCTTTCCTCCTTTCTTTCGAGACAGGGTCTCCCTGGAACTCCAGCTGGCCTGGAACTCACTATATAGACTAGGCTGGCCTTGATGTCACAGAAGTATGCCTTACTTTGCCTTATGAGTTCAGGGATTAAAGCCATACA